GCAGCAGCAGCAGCAGCAGCAGCAGCAGCAGCAGCAGCAGCAGCAGCAGCGAAGACCCTCAGAAGTCATGCAGTCACCCTCTGCGTACGGTCCACTTTCCTCGACGGCATCACCCTACCAGACTTCAAGTGTTGATTCGCAAATTCAGAACGTGAGCCCCCTCTTTCTCTTACATGCCCACAACTCTTACCAGCCTATTTGCTTCTGGGAGTTCGGGGTGGTGACCGCACAGGACTGGTGATAGCAAGAGGGCACTCTTCAGCTTTTGCAACAATTGCCCCTAATAATAGGTTTTTTGTTTGCTTTCTTAACTTTTAATAGATACGAGCTCAGAAAGTAAACGACATGTACTTGCTAACGTACTGGATCCTTCAGGCACGCAGTACTGTTTAACCGCCTATTGGTGCAGCCAGCCCGTTTCTCAGAGTTCATTCTTTTCATGTTAATTCGGCCTAATCTCTTGCCGGAAGCCTACTGTTCTGCACGTTTTCTTTCGCCAGGATCAGTGACCTGGACTGTATGGCATTCGAAAGGAGAGAGCGTTGTCGTCCGTAGTATGACTCATATCAGCGGCATCTGCTATGTTTTCACAACTTAATTGGTCGGCTTAGTAGCCTAGCGGTGACGCCTTCGAAAGTTATTTCTCGTGCGATGTGAATTGTAAATGTGGCAAAAATGGCTATTTCTGACTTGTGTTCATTACTTGCCAATCATGTCAGGCTTCAAGTCGGAAGCCCCGAGTTAACACCTGAATTATGCGAAGATCAGTGTCCCTTTCAATAAGCTGAAGGAAGGTCACCTGCAGTCACGCCTTCTGCTTTGCAACTTCATACCGCTGTCCTTTGTTTATTTAGGTGTTTGGGAGAGGAATAAAGAACTTGCTTCCTGACCCCAGCAGTAGGTTTCAGCCTCTTATGGTGGGCAACAGTAATTTATGTAGGCCCACTCATTAATCCCTACTCCCTGCATGCTTTCTTACGAAAATGGTGGTTTTAGGGTTTTATGAGTGGGGAATTAGGACACCCAGTGGAATATACTTTAATAAATGCTAAATGCATTTTATTTTACTGTATTTA